AATAGTCAACACCAGTGATGTGCTACTTGGATTAATAAATGAGTTCAGCTGCTAGAGTACGGGCAATGATTGCGTAGGACTCCAGTTGCCTTTGTGGCAGGAGGTTTTAGGGAAGTAACCAGAACATGTTGATTTTGAGATGTGGTTTCGATCTCCAAGTTCAGCAGAAGGATATCTTCAACTTACTATATGGTCTATAATTTTCCTCTGAAATCTAGTGTGAATACAAATTATCTGGATTACTAGGTCCTAACAATTCAAATGGCAGTTATTTCTGCTAAGCCAAAAAAGAGAAAAATATGTTTGCAGGTACCATGATTGAAAAGGACAAACACACAATCACTGGTGTCACAACGTAGATCTTGGCAGCATGGTCTGAAGTGTCAGTTGAATGTTGTCTTCCCCATTACTCACCTTGAGCAAAAGTGTTTCTTTAGAACCGACTACAAGCAGATGGTCTCTGAATTTTGTGTTTCCCACAGCATCAATATTTCCATTCTGCTTTTAAATAAAGAAGCCTTGCAGTGATCTTGAATATACCTGTATAGTCCAAAAACATTTTACATATGTATATTTATTCATTTTTCAAATATCATTATTAATTAACAGCTTCTGTACAACTTTTTTAATTTAATGTATGTATTTGTTTAAATAGATATATTTTTTTCTCTAGTGTAATTGTCTTGTCATTTCTAATGATATCCCTTATGTACCAGAACTGGCATATATTTTAAGTATTTTTGAACAAGAAGGGATTGGTAAAGCAGGCAATGACATATCAAGAATTTTTTTTTTTACCTGAACATGTTAACACAAATTTTATGTTACTAGCAACTAATAAGTTGCAGATTTCCATTTGCAAATGTTGCTAAATAAAGGAGGAAAGCATAATTAGCATTGCTTAGTGAATCAAATTAATGTCTTTACAAGTAACAAGGTAAGAAAATAATATCAATTAAATCTGTTTTAAATTTCCTAACAGAATTTGAAAATCGCTTAAATTTTATTTTAAAGATATTTCACTATTTGTGGAGCACCTGATGGTGACACCGAGTTTTGCATAAAATATTATCTAGACATAATCTCGGATGGTCTTAATAATTGCCTGGCTGGAACAGGGCAACAGATGGATTTTTAATCTTCTCCCTACTCCTCCAAATATTTGACATTTCAAGAGAAACTTCCATTCTTAATCTGAACAAAGAGTTGAAAACTTTGAGGGCACAGAGTTCTCAAGTGCTTCCAGTTCAGGCTTGAAATTAAAAAGCCTTTTTTTCAGAAGTGTTAAATTTAAACAATTTTTTTTCATTTTAATGTTTGTTTTAATAATTCTGATTTTTAGTTAGAAGACAAAACAACTTTGATGAAATCACATTCTCCCAAGAGAAGTGTTTTCATGAAAAGACAAGAGCTTTAGTTGTGGTTTTCCCTGTCACACCCCATGATAATGAAGCCTACAGAAGGCATTATTCTTCTTAGGAAACCCAGTACCTCAACAGGTACCCACAAACTCACTGAGGAGGAATTTCCCACAGTTTAAATCAAGGTTGTTTGTACCCATGCAGGTGTCTGTACACATAAGCAAAGATGTCTCAAAACTCACTGTTGTGGTCTCCTCATTTTATTGCACATCTTAGCCATCTGAGCTACTAGAGCCCTGGGGCACACTAGATAACAGAAGAGTGACTGAAATACAGAGCACTAGTACAAAATTAGATCACCTCTTTTAGTCAGACACTTTTCTAGCTTGATAAGCAGCTGGGAGGAATATAGAGGTGCAAAGTTCTCTAAAATGCCTGTGCTACTATGTTATTTGGGTGCACTTCCTAACTCAGACAGCTGTAGGACCAGTTGCTTTGAAAGTGGGGTGCAAATAGGTCAGCAGTTCCAGGCCGCTGGGTGATTTCTTTCATCCAGTAGAAGCTACTAGGCATCTGACTCTTCTGTCTTCTGAGCAATCTCAGAAGAGGGGGTTCTTTATCCCATTTGTAATTTGTCAAATTTCTCAACCTCAGAACTGCTAGCCAGAAATAATCCTGCATGGCTGAAGCCCACCAGGACATACACCGTGTGTGGGAGGAAGACAAGAAGCAGCTGTTGGAGTGGTTAGCAGTGTAGGGGCTCACACTAGATTTCCAAAGAGACAGTCCTGGGCACCATGCAGCCGTAGACTGTTGCTACAGCCAGCCTAGCAAAGCAGACAGTGCTTCAGAGTGCTCCCAGGCACCGGCCATGACTGTCTGTCCTGCTGCACTGTTAACAGGGTCCTTGGCACACTTTCGACCCGTGCCAACTGACATTTGCCTGAACTGTTCCCTGGGGCCATCTGGCAGTTTGCACGCCCCTCGGACTGGCCCCAGCAGGCACCTTGTTTGGGAGGCCAGGAGAGGTCATTAAGCCTAGCACAGGCCACTCGGAGCCAGTTGGCTGCAGGACCTGGGAGCATTCCCAGCCACACCAGGTGTGCCAGTCTAGCTGCGGACTCTTGATCTGAGTCTGCAGCCAGATGCCTCGGATAACCCAACAGCTCCTGCTGGCCCCTACTTTTTCCCACCTGTGGGGACTGAGGGTACCCGATATCAGAGCCAGCCTTTGTATAAAAGCAGCATTGCAACTGGCCATTTTTGCTTTATGCAATGGGCGGGCAACCTGGCCCACTGTCTTGAATGCAGGTTTGCCAGAAAACACCTGAGCAGCATGTTTGGCTATGAAGAGAAATGCTAAGGACTGAAACTCCCAGAGCTGCGTAGGCCTCCCTATGTAAAACTGAGCAGTGGGACAGAAACAAATGCTCTTAAACTGTGACTTGTGAGTTTGCTTTTTTGGTCCTGCTGCTGCAATACGGGGTTCTCTCTATCAGTTCTCTATAAGCCCATACAAGGGCAGAGCTGAAAGTCAGCTGTGGGAACTGCTGTGCTGGTGTGTTGTAATTAAGCTTTTACAATAGCCCTAGCATTTTCCCCTGTGGACTGAAGGGGATATCCTGTGTAAAGGGCCATGTTTGAAAAACATGGCTCACAGTAGCCAGATATATTTTCATTACATCCACTTTTCAGAGCCGATTTTGGTGTCACTTGCCTTTACTTAACTGGGGCTTTATCCCAGCTCCTGTGAACAAACGCTTGAGAGGGTCCATGTCACCACACGCTAGCAAAGATGGTGGGGCTGCAGGTGACCCCCCTCCTGCTTGTTACACCCTCCCCAGACAGGCCCTGTCCCCAACCTCTGTCCATCATTGCTCCGTGCGTTGTGGACAGGCTTGTCAGTGGCTCCTTGCTAACAGAGCCAGGTCAGGAGAGGAGCAAGGTGGTAGGAAAGGAAAGAGCACACCCTTTCTTTAATCTGCTGTGTGCTCTCACTTCTCTGCCTTCCCTGCCTATCCTATATAGCCCCTTTTCATTTGGTTTTACCTCTGCTATTTTGAACTTAAATGTCAGGAGAAGTATTTTGTCCTTGACTTCTTTATCTGTCTTTGAGGCTTTACTCTTCTCCAGTCCCTTTGTTTCATTTAGGCCCTCATCCCTTCCAAGAAGAAGCAATCCATGTCATAGCTGTTTATTTCAGAGGGGAGAATGACCTGGGAGAAATTTCCTTTCTGATCCCTTAGGTAGCATTTGATTTAACCCTGAATGAATGAGCAAGACATGCCAACAAGACACTGAGGAATTTCTTGACCACAAGGTACATCCAGGTTGTAGCTGGGCTTGCTCTTGAGAGAAGACTCAGAAAGAGGAAAAAAATATATATTCCCTTAGAAACCTACCAGTGGTGTAAAACTAAGTATCCAGTCATACTGAATTGATAAAAAAATGCAGATCAAATATTTTTGAAACATCTACCTTCACTCTCTCCAGAGTACCAATAAAGGAGTCCTGTTTACAATTCTATATGAATAATATCTTACCATAATTTATGCACATGGTTATAGAATTCACAGTATGTCACAGGAAACACCACTGGGGTACAGTCCACATAGCTCAAGCATTTACTTTGAAAGGGTTGGACATTTTAAGTGAGCTCATGGTGAATTTCATACTGGCTGCTTTGTTTACATGCTGCCTATCAGAAGAGATCAAGCATTTATTTTTCCCTAAATGGGCTCTCCTCTGGAATATAATAGCAGCTTTCAAACTCACCACGTTATCTATATATTTTCAATTATACATAGGGTCGTGTTTGTGAGTTAATGGGTTTAGTTCTGGAAGTGCCAAAACTTTGATCAACACATGTAAAACAATTGGCTGAAAACGGCAATTTTGATCAATGCTTTATACATCAGTGTGCATTACCTACAGTATGACAGGAAACATAACCACTGCTGAAACCTTTTAATATCAGCAAGAGGGAGAACGGTACTTGGAAATTTTAAAAAGATTAGATAACAAAAGAGCACTTGAAGCAGTACTTCTTATGAGCAGGATATGTAATCTGGTTATAGGACCTGCAGCACAAATCATCGTAGCTTCTTGATTTCTTCCAAAGTTTTTAAACAATATTCTAGCTACCTAGAATCTCATTTGTATTACATTTTCTTACTATGATGTGTATTTTGTTTACATAGCCAGTGATGGATTTATATTTGGAAACTTCAGCTATAAACAAAATCAGTTCCTTGATTTGCTACTGAATATTGGTAAGGTAAAAATTCTGGTCTCACTGATGACAACAGAAGTATTGCCATTTCAGCCACAGGGTCACATATAAACTACTGTTGGATTTGCCATACAGCCAGGCATCCTGTGAGTGACTCCTCTGGAGTCAATTGGGATGTCAGAGCTGCACAGGCAAGCTTAGTACAAGATGATAACTGTAATACAGTAACACATTTAGGTTGAATAAAGCCTCCATTCTTTAATCAGTGTAACTGTCAAACTAAGGCAACTGTAACTTCTCAGTGTACATACCAGCATCACCCAGGGAAGAAATTTAGTTCTGACTGAACACAAAGAAACCTCATCTACTCATTTAAATTATACCTTATTTGAAAACACAGGCGTAGGATGGTTGTTGCCTGGGGAATGGGGGAGGTACAGCATGAGTGAGTATTTCTAAACATTACCAGCCTTACCCCTTTGTTGACAGACCCTTGAGTTATTTTGGAAGCTCTGTCTCTGCTGCCTGCCATGTCAGTTATTATATTGAAAATTTAATTGTACAAGGGCTCTGACACTGAACTTCATAAATTTGTTCCAACTGACCTTGTCTCAGTTATTTGCCAGCCTGGCACAGAGCCTTAGCAGTCATTATTTGTTCTCATGCAGTAGGTAGGAGAAGAATGGAGGAGGAGATAGAATGGACCTGACATTTTACGTGACTGTAAATGAAGAAGCAGCTTTAAATAAAGAGATTAGTATGCCTGCCACAAAGAGTATTGCATTTCTCTCAAACAGACTGAATTTAGGTTGTACAGAATTACTTCTTTGTACCCTGGGTGTGTCTGTTTGTTCTGTAATGTTTTCAAACATCTATTTAAATTTATTTCTGTTTCACCATTCACTTAATTACTCCTCTGTACAGACATCTTCAAGAAGAGTTGCAGAGCATGGCTTTCATGTTCTGAACAACATATAAGTCACTACAACACATTAAAAGCAGAAAAAGTGTGTTGGAGCACAAATCACCATCTGGATGTCTCACAAAGTTTCAGGAATCTGAAGCACACTTTTAAATATTTCCATCACAATGGGAAAGCAAAACAGAGCAAAAGCAAAAGCCAACGAATATATGACATAATATTTCTAGCACCACATCTGCAAAAGGTTCAGTAGATTTAATCCTTATTCACACAAGTGTGAGGGCAAGATATCACCTGCAGACTCTGAAGAGGTATGATGTGCAGTTGAGCTCCATCTGTTGGCTCCAAAGCAACTGAAGTGTATTGAATAACTTCTTTTCAAAATAAATACATCACATTAGCAACACTGCTCTCTATTTTAAAAACATTTTGCTCCTCTACTAAAAAGTGTTCACTTCAGTGCTTATTAGAATCATTGGCATAAACAATATGTAAGAAAAGGTAAAATGGGAACAGAGACTTAAAAGCGAGTTTTATTTTTGGCTCTTAGAATGGGTGTCTAGGGTATGGAAAACAAAATCAGCCTGCAGCTCAGTGATTTGTAGGTTCTGAAAGAGAATCTCTCTCTGAGTTTCTTACATTTTTTTATTCCATACTTTCAAGTAATTGGGGAAGGAAACAAATTCGTACTCAGTTTGTAGAGAGGCTCTGCTTAAAAATGAATAAAGGGTGCTCTCAATGAGTTGTTGGCTCCAAAGGAGACCTGTCTGCAGAGAGCGAGCTGATAAGGAGACTTGTAAACATGACGTGAGGTCTCAGGGGTGATGTTGCAAACAAGATGGAAATGTAGAATCTCCAGGAAGTGAAAAATGTATGTGGCAACCCATGTCCATCCTTTGGGGTTGTGTTCATGTTGATAACTACTGATATCCATTGTTCTTTTCTCAGAGTCAATTTTCTCTATTTCTTTTTCTCCTAGACGTCTGGATGCCAACCACATCAACTATGTGCCCCCCAACTGCTTCAGTGGCTTGGTCTCACTTAGACACCTGTGGCTAGACGATAATTCTTTGACAGAAATTCCCGTCCAAGCTTTTAGAAGTTTACCAGCACTTCAGGCAATGACATTGGCACTGAATAAAATTCATTACATACCAGACTATGCTTTTGGAAACCTCTCTAGTTTGGTAGTTCTGTAAGTTTATCAATTGTTTTTTAGCCACAGTCTCTGCTTCTTTGCAGGACTTTGACCATTCTGTGATAAGTTACTTGAAGATGCAATATTTAATTTAGACATTGCTTGAGACAACCTCTAATAATTAAACATTCCCCTAGTCCCTCCCCAGCTGATAAATGATAAGTAAAGAGGTATATACATGAGTTAATTAAACTTCTGTTTGGTCTTACAGTCTTAGTGTTAAATTGATATCTTGGGGCTATAATCTGCAGTTTCCCTTCTGCATTTGCACTAGGCTTACTGATGTTCTTGTACCAAGAGATCAATTCCATTTGTTGCAGAAAATGTTATTTTTGAAAAATAAATAAAGTTTTCTGTATTATATATATGCTACAAGACAAAATTTTTTTTAAATTATCTTGGATAAACAGATTTTTTGTGTCTTCTTACAGCTAAACTAGCATTTGCTAAATCACTTTTTTCAATCTAGCTTAAAACTTTCCATCTCCAGTAAAGAACTATGTAATTTAAAAAATCACCCTATCTGGTCAGCAAAACAAAACAGGAAGAGATGAATTGTGTGCCCTCTAAGACTCTAAGGCAGTGTGTACTGAATGAGGGAAGATTAGGAAAAGGAAATGAACTGAAAGCTTTCTGGGTGACTTGGAAAGAATGCCATCCAGTAGAAAAAGTATGCATTTCCCTTCACAGAAAGTATATGTAGTTTTGTATTTTGTTGTGTTTGCATACCAGTTCAACTAAATGAAACATGCATAGGTCACACCAAAATCTGGAAGGCATACTATGGAGCGCAGTTACAGCTTTTTGTCTTCTGGAAATGTACCAAGTGGAAAAAATTCAGGTTGGCTGGAGAAACTGAGGAGGAGAACTAAGGTGGAGAAGTTATTTCAGGATACTTTGGAAAATCTTAGCATTATTAAAGAGAGAATAATATATTCAAGCTTTACAAGCTGTCTGAAACCATAGTCTGTAAGACACTTAGCATATTTTAGCATACTCTAGCCTCAGTGTAAGAACTGAACCTGGCACATGCCAGGGTTGTCTATTGACAGTTATAATGACCATCTCTGCCTAGTGCTTAGTATATTCCTATAAGCATATAGGGCACCAAAACTGGAGGGTAACAGCTGCCTTGTGCCACAAAATCTTTGCCTTCTGTTTGCATTAAGTATCACTCCCATTCAAGTTAAAGAGTGGATGGACTTATCATTTGACTGAGCTTCTAGACTTATCTCAGTAATGCTAAAGACAAAAGACTGTCTTGTACGTCATTTTGTAGTTACCTTCCAGAAATATAGTGATAAGAGGACAGTTAAGAAATGCTGGAAAAAATATCTATTTTCATGCCCTGATTGCTTCTACTCAGTTAGTTTTCCTTTTTCTAGATCTGCCTTGCTTATTTCTAATCTTCTGGGCGTCATACTGTTTAATAATTGAATCATTCCTCATGATCTACAACATCTGATATTTTTGGCTTATCAAAATGTTTTTGTGTGGTTCTGCTTTTTTCGTTTGCTGCTCTTCAGTCTGTCAAATTTTCAACTCTGTGCAAAAATACATGGTCAATTGGACCACATTTGAAGCTCTGTCATTAAAGATCTAAACATAATTGGAATCTGGAATTGCACTCTTCATGCTAACTAAAGCATTAACGGTCAGTGTAGACATTAAAAAAAAAAAAAGTTGATTAGGTTTCTTCCTAGGAAAGGAAAAACATACAGAACATTTGCATTTTGCCATCAGAATCCTTGCCTTTTATGGACATACAGACTCAGGTTCTGTAGGTTCTGTAGAACATTTGGAGAGCCCATGATCTTTAACATTATTTTCAGAGCAGAATGAAGCATTGAAAGGAAAAGTGCCTGGCAGTCCCTCATTCACAACCCTTCTTTTCTTTTAAAGTTCTGCTCCCATAGTTTCCCTCCACTGTAGGGGCAGAGTGTCAAGAACAAACTAAAAGGAAAAATCTGCTGGGAAAAAGACATCCTTTTTAAAAAACAACGTGAAGTGGCACCAAGTTGTATCTAGTCACATTAAAGAGCTTCACACAAAGTGGGTATTTTCCATGTCAGTCTAAAAGACTTGTAAATAGACAGCACTCTGAGCCTTCGTGCGGGGCAGTTGGTTGAAAAATATATGACAAAATTACTTTCAGTTCCTAAATATTTGAGAAAGTAGTTGTTCATTTTTATAGTTTGAAATGAAAGCAAGTTGCAGCACTTTTAAGATTGGTTAGTTTACTCCTCTCACTGAAGCTGACTTTTTTGTCCTATGGCTTAGTGTATTCCTTTGTTCTGCAAGCCTAATGCCCCTTTCCTGTCTGCTGTATTACCCATCTCCTGACCTGCATCTGTTCTGTGCCATACCTTCTAACATCCTTTGAATGTACATCTTCCAAATATACACCTCACACCCCACATGGTTTTTAAGTTAACCTGTTAATTAACCACCACTGAGATTATGCCTACAATTTCCCAGTACTTGATATGCAAACCCCAACCTGGAACTCCAGGATACACCCTTTTTAAACAATCTAGGTGATTTTAAAACAAATTCCTTCTATGAAACCAAATGGAAGCCTGCATGGGTGGGGAGCTATCGGGAAAAAGGGGGGAGGGTGGTAGAGGTGCCTCCTATACATATACTCTTGCAAACACATGACTTGCATATAATCAGTGCATGCCTGAAAATAAGTTTCTTTTTATTTAACCATCAAAATGTTTTGCTTAAGTCCACTGTGTGCAGTGTGCTTTCCTGACTGTGTGCTTAATGTTCCCCTACAGACATCTCCATAACAATAGAATCTACTCCCTGGGAAAGAAATGCTTTGATGGGCTCCACAGCCTAGAGACTTTGTGAGTTGACCTCTTACTTGTTTCCTTTTTTTTCAGTGTTTTCATTAATATTCTGAAAGAATAAAAATAGTCTAAAAGCCAAATGTGGTTTTTGGCTTGCCTAATTGCTACGGAACCTAAGTGATGGTTTAAAAGGACTCTATGTAGCAAATCCTATTCATAACTATAACATTAGTTTGCCTTTTTAATAAGCATTATCAATTGATAAATTGCTTGAAAGACAGTTGAAAACCGTACTGAGCATTGAAAAAGAAGTGGATATTCATTAACAGTTATGTTTGCCTAGTTTGGTACTATTTATTTGTCCTATTTAATCAAGAAGGCGAGAAGCTAGATGGGGAACTTGCCACAATGAAAGCTTTAACATTAATAAACTGTCTTGCCATAGAAGAGGCTTATAAAATTAGATGGTTCTATATTTTTTATCCCTGGAAAAAGCAAAAGCGCCAGGTAGCCAAATTCTGCATCTGTTTTACAAGGTGGGAAGAGGAATGTTTCAGTTGTATCCAAGTTTTTTTTCTTTAAAGAGCTCTGATAAAGAATAGCACTGGTAAAGAATGAAATTTCCTCAAGTTTTCGCCATCGTTTTGTTCAGACCAATTCAAATTTTCTTGAATTTTCTAACAAAAAATAATTCTACACAAGAACGCCAAACAGGAACACATTGCTGATGGTTAGTGCAAAGTATTTTGCTAGAGTTAGTCAAATAAAGATGTTGTCTGTTAGAGTAGACCACAGACCTGTGGAAAATGCTACAGGGACAGTAAAAACCTTGCGTATCTTTCCCTTTGGTACCTGCCAGAATCAGCTACATCGTTTTCAGAGATTTTAGATACTTCACTTAACCAGGGTAGAGGCTGAAAGGACTGTTATGAGGAACAAATAGACAAAGTTTCAAATATGAATAATGCTAGTCTAAAGGTGACTATTTGCCTTTTCATCCACAGAACTATGTACTGCCCACATTCATGTTTCATTAAGATCAGAAAGCAAGAAGTTTGGGGCTTTATTTTTTTTTTAACACTAGTTTTGATTACATTGATCCCTTGGCATAGAATTGCAATTTTACAATTTTGACTTTTAGCCGGCTGTGAGTTGAGAGGAAGTCCCTTAGTGTAGCACCGGAAAAGGGGACAGGAAAGGAAGAAGGAAAATGTAATCGTTTGTTGTTTTTTTTTTTAAGTGAGATTCACATGGCACTTGGTCAAAAATGTGGAAAAACAGAACAATGGAACAAGTAATTGCAAACCCAGTCCCACCCACCTGGCATGAGAGAAATTAAATATAGAGGACAGTCATGAACCTGGGAACAAGTGCAGGTGCAGCCACTTCACTGCAATAGGAGAATGTAGCACTTGCCTCAAGCACAGTAATTGCATACTGCATAGACCAATTTCCAGATAGTTTCAAGATAATCTAAAGAGATCTTGGTATAAATGATGGACACCAGCTTTAAGATCATTTGTTTGCATCGACGCATAGGTCTGGAAATCACATAGCACTGGAGGGCAAAATCAAACCATACATGCCTGTAATCTCTTTTTGTCAATAAGCAGGAGAGAGAGATTTACAAGCAGGAAGGAAAGCCTTGTTGAGTTCAGACAGCAGTTTCCTGCCTGCATTACTTCAGCCTGATACTATTTCAGTTTCAATCTATTGCAAACTGTGATTTGTGTTTTGCCTGTTCCAAAAGGTTTTTGCTCATGTTTTTCAGACTATGTTCTTCACAAAGCAGTGCCAGAGAGCATCACAGTAAATTGTCATATTTCAATTTTAGTTTCAGGTGTCTCCTGAATGCTAAAGAGTGTACATGTCATGCTGAGGGCAGAAGTAGGCTTATAGACTATTCAGCCTACCAGAATAAAGTCTATTTACTGCTGCAGCTTCAGCAGTTCTTAAAGCAGAGGACACTACCTTAGCTAAAGTACCATTTTTACAATTTGTGTGGTTAGAGACATTCTCTGTATGAATACTGACAAATCTTAAAATCAACAACACAGTTAATGGTAACGTTGAGCATACTGTATGTTTTCCTACTTGTTTTAGCCAGAGGAAGATTTCCTCCAAACATTTTTACCCTCCAAACTCCAGTATCTCTTATTTTTACCACTTAACCATTGAGAAAAATCTCCTCGGAGGTTTTTCCATCAGAAAAAAAAAAAAAAAAAAAAAAAAAAAACTGACACAGATAGGCAGTGAGTCAGACAAAAGAAACCTTTATAGAGAGATGTATTAGCCATGTAAAATGCAGCTCACCATAAAAAGTTGTTGAATATTCTGTTTGAAAGATTTTTTTTTTCTCATTAATGCTTTCAAGTAATGAAAAGGATGGGCAATTTACAAAATAGCAAATCCCTTAGTAACATCTGAATCCACTTATGCTTTATTTTTTGCAGAATAGTTAAGATATAATTAAAAATAGGATGCTGATAAAAAATAGGAATGATAATGTGCCCTAAATAGAGTTTGTTGGAAAACATCCATACACTTTTGAGGATTTCTTGGGTTTTGGCTGTATGTCTTTATTCAGTGCATGAGGGATGATATTTCTTTACAAATGTCAACAATAATATGTTATCTGTTATGCAATGCATAATGTAAATAATAAAATCTTTTTTTCACAGAGATTTAAATTACAACAGTCTGGACGAGTTCCCCACTGCCATCAGGACACTATCAAACCTAAAAGAACTGTAAGTACAGAGCTCATATTAGGAAGGAGGATGTTTTGTCTAGTGTGTGATTATTTTTTTTTAATGGTGGTGATTTTATCAGTAATCCTTAAAAACTGATATCCTAGGAAAAACTAATAAACATGCCAACATGCATAAAAGATCATTTTCAACATACAGTTTAGAGCATTCAAGTTTTGACAACTTTTACTTTTATACTGCACTGGATTTTTCTAGGAACTTCATGCTTGGAATACAGTAAATAATAAACACAATTAATTCACTTTGAGTCCTAAACTCAACAGTTGGATTTTGCAAACAATCCAGTATATCACAGTCTTCTAGTCTAAGAAAAAGGTGTGGCACCCTTATTAGTCCATCAGTTTTAAATGTCTTTACCTTCTTCCCTCCCTTCCCCCATTAAATTAAAGCAGTTTCTTTTCAATATGAACTGTCCTTTGTGATGCTGTAAGTAAATACTTCTGGATGCACAGACATAGTTTGCATTTTAAAAAAATCAACAATTAAAAGAAACCAGCCACGTTTATTGTAAGAAACAGATGAATTATAAAAAAAATGAATAAAATTATATTCACACATTGTACACACAATGTACGCACCAGTGCATGTGTTCAGAATTCTTTCCATTTCAATTATTTACCATCAGCATAGATTTTTTTAAAAAACAGGTAATCATACAGTGGTTGGACATGGTTGTACCCCTGCTGTGTCACAAACTAATCTTAAAGACACTTTAAGCAGCTACGTGGGATTTTTTCCAAATTCCCAGGCAGTGTTGACTCCAGCTCAGCACCTCCAGTGCTGGCAAAGAGTGCTGCTCTGGAGGAGGGAGTGGGGCTATGAGTTTCTCAGCCCAACTGTTCTCATTTGCTGTTATGTCATCTGTTAGCTAAAATAATTGATACTAAATCCAGCAGCCTCAAAGAATTGCCTTTTTGCTGACCTCTGGAGTCAGTAGCCAAACATGGATAACCCAGGTCTGCAGTAAAAGCACCTTGCCCAGTCCAACGAACTGCCTGATGTGCTTGAGATTACTTACCGGCCCCATAGGACTTCACCTCTAAGTATTAAATGTCTGGTTTCAGATAAGCTCCTAGGTGCAGGAAATCTTCAGAGTGTGAAATTGCAACCTGTCGTCTCAAATCCAGCACAGACCATGAGACTGTAAGCTTCAGTGCTTTGTCTGGGCCCTGGAAGCTGATCTTATAAGGACGAGGTTGGGTTTGCACTGCCAGTCTCACCCAAGTGGGAGCCCAGGACTGCAGAGGTTCAGCTCATTGCAGAGCCACCTTAGTCAGGGTGTTTCTGGGTGGGACCTCATTTCTCCCTCAGAATTTGTTCCTGGGCTGAAAACACAGATTGTGGCTTCTTGTCTACAGCTTGGAACTATCCAAGGCAGGCAGTCAAAGCTGGAGATCGACTGGCAAGTTGCCAGCGAGTCAGGGCCATATCTGTTTGATGCTACAGGGCCACCATTGGCCCATATGCTCTGCACTTCAAGGTCTCAGCTGTAGGAGTAGTTATCTCTCCAAAGTAAGTGGGTATAGCTGTTACCCCAAGTTAATGTGTATGTAATGTTTTCCAGACAGGTTTTGAAGATACCTATAGAAGCATTTTTCTCGGCAAGGCCTTAAATATAGTCTTTTTACCCAGGAGTGCAGATAGATTTTGCTGCTCAGTATATGAACTGACAGGCTATAAAGTGCCTTCGGTCCAGCTAGGGTGTATCATGAGTGTTACGGTGCCCCATGGCAGGCTGCAACTGTGAGCACACTCTCCTCCAACCAGCCCAGAAGTGCTTCAGGCTCTTCTGTGCTTGAATGCACTGGAGTCTGCCTTTGGTTGATGATGGGGCTGCTCCTTCCCTCCAACTCGAGTCAAAATGGTGATGAGGGGCCAGATACTGCCCTGGGAAGTAGTCAGGCCATTTCCTTGGCTTTCTGCCATGCACAGTATCCTATTCAATACAGCCACAAAACCAGTCTGTTTACTGGTTCTAGATTAAATGGGATCTTCATCTGCATGGATGCAGTTTTTATTGCATGCAAAAGAACTAGGAATATAAAGCCTTGCTCTGTAGCTCATCAGCAGTAGCACAGTGCCTAAACAAGTATAACCAATAATGTGGGACCTGCTCAAGTAGTGGCCAAGTGTGCTTGCATCAGTGAACAATTTGAGGCTTTCTAAATGCATAAATTTAAGCTGGGAAGCTTTTTTCATACCCGACTGAACTAATGGGAGTTTCCCACACAAATCATCATTGTTCTTTTGAAATCTTAAGTTATTGCTTTTGTTTTTCACAATGGAGAATTACTCATATGAATAAAATCCAGTAATTAATGATAGGACACAGATTTGTCCCTCTGTCCAGCAGGCACAACTACATTGGATAGTTTGTTCATGTCCACATTTAAAATATTTTTTAAAAAGGTGGTTGTGGGAGGCTCAACATATTACAATATAATGTATAAAATCATTTACTTTATAAACTTGTGCAATCCATTATTCTCCCAGCAAAATAAATCATTGTAGTTTAACAAGTACAGGGAGAAATATACAGATACTATTTTCTTGTTATTTAATTAACTATTAATATTTAACTATTAATGTTATTAGCTCATGTGTGTGTATATTTACATTATATCTATATACATACACACATAGATTCATATATACATGATGTACAGCTACAAAGCAATTTCTTACTGAAGACAACTGAATTTTAAAATGCCATTTTGAAGTTTACTTCATCTCAATAGTTTTGTTCATTTAGAAAAGTGCAAAACACCAGCTACTTCAATGCTTTTCTTTTCTTTTGGTTTTTTTCAGTTCTCTTATTCCAGAATACAAGGCCATACCTTTACATACAGACACTTTTCTTTTCTTATTGCAAACAAAAAAAATTGTTGTGCATTATGAATACAGGTTATGCCTTCACTTTTTTTTTCTTACTGTGTAAACCATTTTTCCTTTTGTAGGGGATTTCATAGCAATAACATAAAGTCAATACCTGAGCGTGCATTTGTGGGTAATCCATCACTTATTACAATGTAAGTTATGATAATCTTTTCAATGACTCTTCTTGTTAGAGAATGTGGAACTAAGTATTGTATTTGTGGCTAATTTTCAAATAGGTCTTCTTGTGAGCATACTGTGTAGCATATCATTATACAAGCAAACAAGCTCATATCTTTCCAACTTTGTGAAAAGAATGTCAGTTGGCATGCCCTGTTTAAGGGAAGTGTGTGGTGGTCTCTGGCCTTTGACCTTTTATTTGAACTATTTCTTCTAAGTCTCTGGCAACGTAGAAGCTAGCAAAAATTACTTTTTCTAGTCTGAGTTCCCATTGTCTTACGTGAGAATGTATTTAATGGGCAAACCCCAAAATAAGAAACTGTAAAAAAAAAAAAAAGTAAGAATGACAGTGACTCATATTGAGGAATACTATTCTATGAGCAAAAGCAGTATGGCTTCAAAAGTGCAAGGGAACCTCTTCAGAGTATGCGAAGTTCTCACTTCTGTACCTACTAGCCTTAAATTTGTCTCAGGTCATAAAAAAGTTACTTATATTTAGATTTCTATCTTTGCAAACCTGTGAGGAAGAGAGAGAATATTTTGTTGACTGGCATCAGGCTTTAAAACCAAGAAAAAAATAACTACTTGAATATTCAAAATGTGAAACGTGGTTGATGGCTATATATTAGTGAGTGACAAAAGCCCAGACTCTGTGATTCATCATAGAGAGTTTACTCATTTGCTTATAGTATAATCACATAATATATTTAGAATATTTTAAAATTTTTTTATTAAATGTCTTTTTATCCTCTTTTTGCAGACATTTTTATGATAACCCTATCCAGCTTGTTGGAAGATCTGCTTTTCAACACTTACCAGAACTCAGGACTCTGTATGTGTTTACTTTTTATTTTAATTGCCCTTATATATTAGAATATTAGAGTTGTCCCACACTTCCCTCACCATTGAAATGATATTTTTAAATCCTAGGACTTTAAATGGTGCTTCACAGTTAACAGAGTTTCCTGATCTGACAGGGACTACAAGTCTGGAAAGTTTGTAAGTGCTAGAGAAGTATTTTTGCTTTATTTTATTTTTTTGCATACTGACTTATTCTAAAGAATGTCCTAAAAAAGTTTGTTTTGCAATCTTTAAAAGGTTTTTTCTTTTCGTTTCTTTTTTTTTTATAAAATACTTTCAACAGGACACTCACAGGAGCACAGATCACCTCTCTCCCCAAATCAGCTTGTGACCAGTTACCTAATCTCCAAGTGCTGTACGTTTCAGTAAGATTATTAACATTACATTAATGCGAGAGATTAATGGACAAATTAAACCATTATTATTTCAAAAGTACACAATTACTGCTATTTCTGTATATCACGTTACTTCTTAGGAATTCAGGTCAGGGAGCGGGCCCCTGCATTACTCAAAAAGTGCACAACCCACTTATCAGTCAGGATTTCCCATACACTGCTGAAAAAGATAATTACTTTGCATATTTTAAGGAAAGGGTAAAACAGTTCTTGATTTTGTTTGAAAAACAACAGAACTACCTTATTTTCATTCATTCTCTCTCTCCTATAGTAGTCTGGGTTTTTTTTCCTCACCAAGGCAGATAATTCAGTGAAGTGAATGGAAAATATAATAGTGAGGAGTGCAGTTTTGAGTCCTTGTTATGCTCCTCTTTTAGTTTCTTTTCCAACCAGACATAAGTAGCTGACTGAAATTTTAATATACTATTCCTTGACATAGTTGGGGCACAGTTTTTACACTACATATCCAATATTATTTTAGTTTGGAAATTTTCTTGGAGTATGCTTAATCACTAACAAAAGTAATCATTGTGTCTGCTTCTTTGAGAATGAGCCAGCAGCACTTTCCTCTATGTATTACATCACTAGGAATGTATTTGGTATTAGTCCTCTGGCCAACATTGAAATAGCACTAATTATAACACATTATTTGAATACCAGGGTGGATGTCATGAACATTTCCAGAAAAAATTAAGTTTTAGTTGATGGACTCAATTTAATCATTTCCAGAATGATAAAAGACAGAAACAGAGTCTGTTGCCAGAAGAAAGTCTGCACACAGACTTAAGTTTAAGTATGTCCTGTGTTATTCAAAAACAATAAATAATCCCAAAACAGAAGGCAAATTGAAACAGAAGGCAGATTAAAACTATACTAATTAATAACTTGTACAGTTCATAGTAGAGTAGGACTGTCCATTGGAAATACATATTTTTCATTTTTGAGTATCACCCTGTAAAAGGATGGTTAACCAATTTGACAGCAATTTCATGTACTCAGAGTTGCTCTTTCCCCATTCCCATTGGACTGGAATGAGCCTGCCAAGCCCACATTTAGGCTTGCATGCTAGTTTTACTTGTGCCATGAAATATAACAGTGCGCTGAACCCCACAAGTTACTTGGAGACTGACATCTTGAAGGGGCTTCCTGCCTTAGATACATGCACAAACACTACAAGTGCAAACACTGCTTTGGAAGAGTGTATGTGCATCCTGCCTAGCCACTGATACTTCCAAATGTGGATTGATGTACATGGGGTCTTCCTGGGTGTCTGCGCACCTGCAGTGAAAGCGTATGTGAGAGCACCGTCACAGCAGTCCTCGAGAGACTACCCTCAGCACAGTCAGGTATGCACCTCATCACAGGAACCAAAACCACTTGCCCTCTGCTGTGCCAAGAGCCTCACATATTAACAAAATGGGAAAAAATCCTTAAAAATAAACAAGTGAAATGTTTCTTGGAGCTCTAACAGAAACTGAGGGGAGAAGAGTTTTGGTTTTGTTTGGTTTGGTTTTTTTTTTCCATCTGTGAAGAGAGAATATCAGTATGTACAAAATTAAAGCTGATAACATACTTTTAAGAAGGCCTAAATCACAAATCTGTGCATGACAGAATTGCCACAATCCACCAGACTTACCAAACAACTTTTAACTTGGCCTAAAAGCCTCCAGCTCACTTGAATTCTCCTCTGTCGTGTCTGATTTGGACCACAGAGTTGCTGTGAAAAAAAAAAACAAAAAAAAACCCCACAAAAACAGAGACTGTAATCTTCCCTTCTGTAACAAAAAATATACATATATTGATGGTAGCCTTTGTGCATAGTAAAAGCAGAGTGGAATACCTTAAAAACACAGCCATTAGTTGCACCACTTCCACAAATCAAATACAGCATAGTCTAAATGCCCCTGTTGGAATAGTAACAGTGAAGATAAAATTTTGCCAAGGAAGTAAATGGGTGGAGATGAACCAGTTTTAAATAATTTGAAACAAGAGTGAAAAGAGGTTACTCTTTTACATGATAGTGTTGGATAACCATGGTGAATGACATTGTTCATAATTATAGGCCTAAGCTTTTTTTCTGTGTTGTTCTCACTAGCAAATTTCCCATTCAGTTTTCCACAAGCAAGATGTATATATAGGATGAGACTGTTGGGTGGTGGCAGTGGGTGTTTGGTTTCTTTTCCCTCCAGTTTCTGCAAATTGCTTGGGCTTGGTTTTGATTAGTTATATTATACTATAAATCAGTCCAGATGTTTCAGTTATTCTGTAATTTGTTGAGTTTTGGCTCAAGAGTTTTTAAGGGTTTTTTCCTCCATGTAGTGATTGATTTCAAAGTTAGTTCCAATATTTTTTTTAACCACTTCCCTCAGTTACAAGATACAACAGCCTAAGGATCTGAGGCAATACTGCTTAATTAAAAGTGTAGAATGGAAAGCTGATTACAGTCTGTTGTGATTGTTACAAGAAAAATACAGGATCTTCTCTGAAAAAAATATGAGTATATATATTTAGTAGATTATTTTAAATGTCTTAAATATTTGTCACAATTTAAACATGATGAATATGAAGTCTGTGATGCAAATACAGTATTCCCTATGAGCAGATGGCCAATATCGTTACTGTAAAGCACCCTGAAGAAGTCTACACTTCAGGCAGGAAATCTTTAGACAATGCAAGGAATTTACAAACATAGGATATGGAATTAATACATTTTGCCTTTTCCCCTTCTCTCTTCCTCAGTTAGAAATCAAAATCTGGCAGATGAGAGATGGTAACTGAGTTTGCACATTTCTGTTATTCCATAAGTGTGGATAAAAACAAGTTATTTTAAGTTGAGTGTAAAGGTAGACAGTGAAAGATCTTTTCCTTTTAATGTTACTTTGATGTTAATCTTTTCTTTTCATATGTATTACAGTGATCTGTCTTACAACCTGTTGGAAGATTTACCCTGTTTTACTGCATGTAGAAAACTCCAAAAAATGTAAGCCTTAAACAATCCTAAAAAGCCTAAAAAGAGGCATCTATATACAAATTTGTTTGAGCATCATTAACTTGGTTATCGCTGGCTGATTTGACATATCCCAAATACATACCCTTAGACTATATTGGAGTGGACCATAAACACAATCTAAACCACCCCGAAGTGTCCTCCCAAGTGCCTTTGAAATTGAGGAGATTCTTATTGCTATTTCAGTGACTTGCATCACAATGAAATCGGTGAAATCAAAGCAGAGACGTTTCGGCAGCTGACTGCTCTTCGGTCTCTGTGAGTACAGCCCTAACAGCCATTCACTGGGGTTCTCATAACATGGGGTATACACTGTCTACTCGCTATCTGCCCCAAAACATGCTTGTTTCTGTTTTTCTTTGATCTTTCACCCATTAGGTCGTAACTGTGAAAGCAGAACAAACATTGGGAAGTTTAGCATGTGCAGCAATGATTTCAAAGATGTAAACTTATAGCTATAAAAGCTGTTACTTGTAAACATTTTGCAGTTGGACTAGATGATGGTTGTGGGTCCCTTCCAACTGAACTATTCTATTCTATTTTATTCTACTCTCTCTGTTGAGAGAGATACTAAGCCAAAGCTAGTATCTGTTGGCAGTTTCAAGTAATAATCAGCTCTAGGGAGCATTAAATCTTTTTATAGAGAACAATGTCTTAAGAAATAGATTCTCATCATGTGTCAGTTTATAGTTTTCATACAGATGCGTATGCTAGCAGAGCAATTTTGTCAGGAAATTACTCATGGGTTTAAGTCTTCGCAGGATCAAGCCCCTACATTTTTTTTTTTTAAGAGTTCCTTTTAGTTTTTTGATTTTTTCAGGGGAGGTGAAGATTGAGATTAAGAAGTTAAGCCTATTGACAATGGATTTGCTGTTCTTAGTCACATCAGGAGGATCTCTTAGAAGCAGTCCATCTAGCCCACCCTTCTTTCTGCTGCCTTGGGAAGCTGTGAAGCAGACTGAAAATAATTGTGTTAGACTGCAGAAGTCATTAAGAAGTTCTAGAGAAAGTTTTTGGTTTAATAAATAACATAATTAACTGATTAACTTAATTTAAAAACTGAAAAAATATTTTGCACTATGAGATATGCAGTAGCTTGTTGAAAATATTTTCATGTAATTAATACCTTTTTTATATTTAGGCCTCCTAATCAAGTGTATGAAAACTTCCATATTCACTCAGTGGGTATGTAATTTTCCACTCACTTTTCTTGTAGGGATTTAGCTTGGAACAAAATTAAAATTATTCACCCCAATGCCTTCTCCTCTTTACCATCTCTGATCAAACTGTAAGTATTTTTATATCTTCTACATTCAAATTTTCACATTTTTCTTGCAAGAGCATACGAAAAAATGTAATAACTTAGTGGCCCACTCAGCAGAAATTGAGGCTTTCTCTATTCTAGTATTCTGGTCTGTGGAATCCGTATCTGAATGCCTGCTTTCTTGCAGTTCAGCTCCCATAGGTATTACGGCAAAGTTGCATATAACACTGTGTAATCAGAGTGATTTGGGGTCCATGAAGCATATCAGTGTAACTGCTTTTCTTCATTCAGTTTGTTGGCAGTTGAGTCTCTTTTAACAGTGGGGAATATTTCATGTCACTTACCAGGACTAAGGAAATAGATTCAAAATTAAATAAGAAACATTTTCCAGTAAGCATCTTTATTTCATCATTCCTCATTTGATGGAATATTTTTTCTTTTTTAGTGACTTCAGACAGAGTAGTTAGTGGTCAAAACATCAGCAGTCAAATTTTTCAGGCCTTGTTCACAAGCACTTCCCAGTCCTTTTTCCTGTTTCCCACTGTCATTGTAATGCCTCTTTAAGGTGGAAACCTTGAGGCATTGGGTGTATGGGAAAAATGTGAAAGAAAGTTTCTCTGGAGTCATCCTGCTCCATGGTTGTCACAAAGATACACTACTGGGCATCTGCTCACAGATAATCCAGAAGCTTCTGGGAAACCTAAATTTGGAAAGGATTATTCATTTCTGTTGATGTGCAGTCTCCCCTCTGAATGGTGCACTGAAAAATGTCCATAAAGGGAATATTGTCTGTGACATCCCTTTTTGGGGACCCTTCTCAGGACTTTCTTACAGAAGAAAAAGCAAAGGAACATCATGCTGCCAGCAATAAATTTTAGCTTTGGTCAATAGCACAAGACAGTCAGGGAGAGTTAAAGAAAAAGCCCTTTATTACACGCACAGCAACATAGCGTACCAGTGTTTCCTGAAATTCTAGGCTGTAACCCTGGTCTGATTGCAGTCAGTGGTCGTTTTTACTATTGCAGTAGGACCAGAATTTCACCTTTTGTATTTAACTGCATTGTAAGCAAGAGAACACGTGCGTATACACACACAAACACACTAAACCAGAAAAGGCAGAAGACCAGTCCATCAACGTAACACTTATGTTATGTCTGGCCCCTTACATTTCAGTAGGTAGTCTAAGAAACAGGAACCTTGCTGTTAACCCTTGGGCATAAAAGTATTTCAGCAGCATCATTCTCCCCTTCTTCCTCCTTCTTGATTGTTGACCATTTTAAGTATTGCAGTGTAAATAATTGTGAAGAGAACTGAAAAGGCTTCTAGAATAAATAGAAGAGAGATGGAGAAATAAAAAATAGAATACGTTTGCTCTTCCCTCTCTTTGATTACTTTACCATTTCTCCTTAATCACTTTTTCATTCCTGGTTTTACTTTCCCCATTATGTATCCATGCTCTGTTCTGTCTTTCTTCAGCTCCTCAGACAAACCTTAGCTTAGAACTGTCACCTTCATCTGCTCCAGCCCAGACCTGTCCTACCCTGAAACACACATTTTCCCCATTCACCTGACCTGCTCCTTGTGGAGTTTTCAGGGCAGCCATACCCTCTAGCATCCCACTGAATCTTTTAAACTGTGCGAAGCTGTTCTGGTACTGGCTGCCTTTAATCCAGACAATCTAATTAATAGATTTTAAATTCATGTGCTAGTCTCAAAACTGGCACTATGAATGTTTGTAGTCAAAATTTGGCAACAGAGACTTAGCTAACTGCTAGGTATTACTGTTAGCTTTCTGCTAGACATGTAGGTGCATACTCGTGAGTAGTGCTGCAGCTTTGCTCTGCTGACTGGGGCCTCTGTTTAATGCAGTCATTTTTGATTGAATTAGAAAAGTCTAATCTGTTTTTCCAATGTGATACTTCTAGTACTGAACCAAAAAAAAAAATGAAAGCCTGTAAGCTGATTTTTATTTGCTGTTATGCAGGGATGTGTCATCCAACCTTTTGTCTTCTTTTCCTGTGATGGGGCTACATGGTTTAACTCATTTAAAATTAACAGGAAATCATGCCCTGCAAAGTTTGATATCATCTGAAAATTTTCCAGAACTCAAGTGAGTATATCATTAAAACTAATAAGCCACATTTGTGTTCATGTGCAATGGAAGGTGTGTCAGTGTGTAACGCATGTTACTTCGTATTGTCAGTCTTTGATCTGTGCTATTAAAACTAAAGCAAATATGATAAAAATGATAGACTTATTTTATTATGTTCATGTTTAACTGAAGAAACTATGAAGGGTTTTGAAATATTAACCCCAGTACTTGCTTAATACGAGCCACATCTGCTTCCTGGTGATATGTTTCAAAAGCTGCTAAAACAATATTGCTAGCAGCTTAGTGGTCTGTCCTTCTTCTACTGGTCTGTGCTTACAAAACTTCCATTATATTTAATGAGAACACAGCAAATATCAAGGGAAGAATATACTCATGAAGTTCCGAAATATTTAGCCTCTTTTGTTTGAACATGTTTTTTCTGTAATCTTTTGATTAAGATTCAGGTAATAATTTGCCATTATTACTAAAACATTTTGATGCTAGTAATTTTCTGCTGAGTGCTCTGTGATACAGGAAGGAAATGTTCTCTAGAGATCATTTGCAGCCCTGCCAGTCACTGAATGACCATAGAGAAATCACAGTAAGGAGAGTTTTGCCTCTGACTTCAGGGTACTTGGGAGTGTCCCCTAACTCTCCCTTGGTTTTTATGTTTTAATTAGAGGATGCCAAGTGCAATATATTTTTTTTTCCAGGCTTTACTGTGAAAGGTTTAATATAATAAAATTTGAAACAATTTAACAGTGTGCACGTAGTTACAGAATCACAGACTGCCTGGGGTTGGAAGGGATCTCTGGAGCTGATCTTGTCCAACCCTGCTTGCTCAAGCAGGTTCACCTTGAGCCAGTTGCCCAGAACCACGTCCAGATGGCTTTTGAATATCTCCAAGGATGGAGACTCCATCCTTATGTCCTCATTAGATTTGCCTTTTGCACTGGAAAAGTCTCATGAGTCTTAGCAGACAGACAATTCAAGGGGACGTTACCACTAATGAAAAGGACTGGAGTGTTTGGAGTTATCAGTAAGGGAGTCATGAGTAAAAGTGTGGAGATGATTAAACCTCTGTGCACAGCCCTGGAGGGATCCACACCAGAACACTCCTGTGGTGGCATGTTAATACAAACAGAGAGAGGAGCTGCAAAAAATGGTTCCAAGATTAGGAAACAATACCTTAAAAGACTTAATAAACCTCATATTTGTAGTTTGTCACAGAGATCAGGCAGTGACATCGTCACAGTGTATTACACTACTCTATAACATAAACATTAAAAGTACTAGAGGCCTTACGCCTCTTTTACGCCAGATACCTTCAGATGAGTCTCTGAGGTCAAGAAGCGAGTACCATAAGAAAGTGAATGGTTGAGGCTGAGCTCTTTCTTCTCTCACTGATTTTGCCCACAATGGTGACAATTCTAAAATACCTGAAGGTTCTTTAAAAGTATATAAACACAAGAAAATGGGCTACTCCAACCTAGCAAATATATAGCGATGTATATACCATGGCCTAGAGGCATAAGAGGTGCTGCAGTAGTCCTAGAACAATCCACTATTCAACTGAATTATGTACAACTAAGATTTTTTAGTTCTTTTATCAAAATTATGCTTTATATTATTTTTCCACCAGTAAAATTATGTACATTGCTCAAATGCAACTACAGTGTACTTACTCTGAGTAAGTAGTTAAGGATGTGTCAGGCAGTAACTTAAGTCTTAAAAAAAGGTATAAAAGGTATGATTAATGTATGTAGAGTTGATTAACATCTGTAAGAACAAATTATATCCAGTCAGGAGAGAATGGGGTAAAATCCTGACCTGGAGTCTGCAGGACTTTTACCATGAATCAAAATAAGGGCAAGACTTCACACAGGATCACTGCACAGACAATGCATGAAGCGCCAAACTTGAACAGAGATCTAAAATAAAATGAAATTTCACCCTTTGTAATTGTTGGAAGTAGACACTGGTTAGAACATTAAAGACAAATTCCTGTATAAAAAGCTTCCTGCTCCTCTAAGTGGGTCATTGCTGTTCAATACACAGACACATCAAAGAGCTGAGCATCCTCTGCCCCACCTTCAGAAATGGTACAAGAATGCTCTACAGAGCTGAGCCCAGCCTGCTATGGCAAGCTATGAGGAAGTAAAGTCAAGCTGCCAGCCACTCCTTCCTACTTTGTCCGATGCTTTGATTCAACGCTGTAAAGAACTCAGAGATTTGCTCCATCCATCATAACTGTGTCTTCCCATTCACCGTCAACCCCACACCTTTGTGAGGTGGAAAACGACCTTGTGTTCTCTGCTGCTTAGTCTAAAAACAGAAAAAAGAGGCATTGCTTGCTGCAGGAAAAAAATTATCATCAAGGATACAGATATCAGTAAGATAAGCAGTATATAAAAATAAACTTAGCCAGTGTTTCTAAAATAATTTAATTTGTCAAAGTCCAAATCTAATCACCCACATCAAATAAGCACCAGCCATAAAAAGGACTGTTTCCAGCTCTGTATAGCTGAGAATTGCTGCTTTTTTTTGTTTTGGTTTTTGTTTTGTTTTGGTTTTTTTTGTTAAAGGTAGCTTTTGGAAGAAATAAATTCCTCTGTCAACAAGAAGAGCTGATACTATATTCTCTGTATTGCAAAGTATGTTTTGTCCTCTGTGTTCTGGGTCCCAGTCATTCTGGGCAATTATGCTTTGCACACATATTCAGAAGCGTTTGCCAGTTTGAGGCCTATATGTGTATCCTAGTAATGCAGGGGAAAATTAAAAACTTTTCCAGTTTAACATAGGATGCTAGAAAGATGTACAGAGAGAATGGGATTCTTGCTCTTCAAAGATAACTTAAAAGTGACGGGGTTCTTTGACTGCTTCATTGAAGCAGTGGACCAGCACAATGTGAGAGGTCCACATTTCCAGTGTATGACAGGCCAGCAGGCTGGTAGCAGCCCAACAGCATCTAGAAATCTGTCATCATTAAGCACACAGACCTGTTTATATAACTAGAGAATACACTTCTGCTAGTCCCTTGAGCCTAAAATATCTCTAGCTGTTCATTTCCTCAGCTGTATCAATGTCTTCAAAAAGGTCTGAAGCCACAAGCTGCAGTGATCACCTTGCAGAACTGTCAGTGTTTGGGACTGGTTTTAGCCCAGGTGACTAGCTGTGGGTTAGTCTCATTATCTATGGGTTTAATAATAGTTTATTTAAGAAGGGCTTCTGGGAAATGTGTTCAAAAATGCTTAATTGATATAATCTCCTTATTTTAAAATATGGCATGCACAGAAATTAGTTAGAAATTAAATATTTAAATCTGCTGGCATGAGGTTGCTTGATAGTTAGATGTTGGTTACCTTGAACTTTTATTGGAGTACCTTAAAAATACCTTATGTAGCTTTTTTTATTGGGTAGAAGGGTAGATATTATTGTTGCTAATTCCCAACAGAAATTTAAGTATATAGAATCTAAGTCCCCCAAAATGCATTAATTTAAAAATCACTTTAAAGCTTAGGGTTCCGTTTGTTCTCTTTGTGCCAACTTTTGGCTAGCGCACAAGTGTAAGTCCTGTTGGCACTGAGTCTGATTCAGACTGATCTCTTTGCAGATTTCCCAGGGGGTTAGAGGTTGCTTGGAATGCTCATTATCTTAATTTACATGATTAACCTGTTGAAGGCAATTGATATGAGGATATAGTTCAATTTTATTCCTTTAAAGTCAGAATAACTTCGAATCACCTCTTTATCTTTGAAATTTTTGGTTTATTGGGCTTTTGCAATTAAGGTGAGTTGTTAGGTTTTACTATGTGCTATTGGCAAACTGTGCAAATTAAATATCTCTGCTTCCAGGGCATAAAATATATCTAAGGAATAGAAGAAGTAGTCTATTGTACCTGAATATATGTAGTTCTTTCATGCTACCCCAGAATTTGAACATCCCCAAATGAATTAAATTCAAAACATACCATAAATGAACAATTTTCTGACAAAAGAAACCCTCAAAATCATTGAAACTCGCTGACTTATACTCAGTTATGTGTTAGGAATGCCAACGATCTTAAAAGAATCAGGAATGAGCATCCTGCAATGACCGTGCTCATTTCTAAGACAATTAATAAAGTAAAACCTTTTCCTCAATGACATGTTTTCTCACACAGTGCCTTTCTGATTCATTCACCTTTTGGTTTAGAGCACTGCTTTCTTGATCTGTGCACAAAAGACAAACTCCTTTTTGCCATCTTACTGTGAAAAGAGTTGGATGTGGAAAGAGGTAGATAAAGTTTGAATTCCCAGAGTTCTCGTTCTCCCCAAACTGGAGGAATTCCATTTGGGAAGTGATGTTTTGGTTTTGCCTGTGAGGCAGGTAGATGCAATTGTGATCTTTGGATCTGCTTTTTCAAAAATAAACCATTAAGAAAGTAACATGGAGAAACTGTTGAGTTACACTGTAAAGTAATTCAAAATCGTAAAATAGAACTACAGCTCTAAGAGTAACAGTCCCTCAGCTGCAAGGCACATATCTCCCACTTTCATATCTCCCATTAAAATGCATAAGGAAACTTAATTGTGCCTTTACTAAAATCAGCTTAGAAATCATCTTCATTTCTGATGTGGAATTTTGTGAGTCCTCATTTTCTATTATCATGACTTTTACACATGGATATTTTTACTTTCAGTCATGGCTGTTTAAACAGGTTCTTTTGCACTAACAGTAGAGGAGCAGTACAATCCAGTAGCTCTGGTGCTAAACCAGTATTGTGGCATGCTTCCTTTTTCTTCTACAGGGTCATGGAAATGCCTTATGCTTATCAGTGCTGTGCCTTTGGAGCTTGTGAGAGCCACTACAAAATCTCCAGCCAATGGAGCAAAGATGAGAATAGCAGCATTGACGATTTTCACAGGAAGGATGCTGGGCTGTTACAAATTCAAGGTAATTGGCATCTTGGGCTTTTAAGTCTACCTGAAGGCTGCGAGCAGCCTGTGATGTTAGACAAATCCGGGACTCTTTTACAGTCACAGAGGCAGCCTCTCCCTCTCTCTTGCCTGATAATATGTTATTCAAGCATTCCTATGCTTAGCAAACTTTTTTCAGGATTGCCTCTCAAAAATCTCACTCACTGACCTTTCTGTCCAAATAATACTATAGTAATGTGGGAAATGAGATCTTCCCTTTATTTGAGAGACAGGGAACTGGTGCTGGTATGTAACCCCATACAAGAACAGGCCAGCAAAAATTGAGTTTCTTGCCTTGGAAGTAGCAATGTATCCTTGGTTCTCCTGCTGTCCACAAGCTTCAGGATGAGTCACAGAGTTTATGTGGCTACTTTGGCATAGCTGCCAATATTTTTTCCTGGCACTTCCTGGGTACCAGAGTGCATCTGCTCTCCAGAACAGAAGATTACTGTATTTTTCTTCCCCTTCAGCACAAGGTCTGTTACTTGACCTGTTACCTATTAACTGCTATGTAGGTGCATATGTGTGTTATACAATCCTGCTGCTTTCTGCTATCTCCACTCTTGCAAACCAGTAAGTCTCAAGAGTTCAGGGCTAGCCATAGCAAGAATAGAGCCGAGGATACATGGTAGAGCAATGACATAAGAAACACAGAAAAACTTGTGTTAATTCTTAGTAGCCTGGCACAACAGCAGAATTCATATTTTAAACTCCTTCCTAGGCAGTCATCACACTGCAAATTACATGATGGAGAACGTACCTGTAAGTGATTATTTTCAGAGAAGTGATGGTGCCAACTTTTTAAATAATCCTGAGTACAGTAATTCAAAACCAAGTAGGCATATGCCTGTTTTTACTCACAGTTTGTCAGGCAAAGAGCCAAGACCAGGCCTTAAATACCACAGATATTTTTGCAATTTGCACTAAAATAAGTTTTCCTGAAAATTGCAGTATCAAATCTGGGTATTTTCTCCCCAACAGATGAGCGTGACTTTGAAGACTTTTTCCTTGACTTTGAAGAAGATTTGAAAGCTCATCATTCAGTGCAATGTTCACCTTCTCCAGGTATGAAACTGACAGCCAGATAGGAATCCAAGCACAGTATTACCAGATATTCTAGATGCAGAACAAACTCTAAATCTGATATTGGGACAGTAACATGATGTTTATCAATAATTTGATGAGATTAATACAGATATATTGCACAATAATGTAAAGTATTGCATTGAAGTCCAGAAAACTATTCAGCTACTAAATTCATCTATGAGTGAAACATAAGTTTTACCCAGTGCTCGGGCAGGTCCTCACTCCAGGCCCCTTTTCACAGCAATTGATCCCTTTATCAAGGGAATGAGAGAGGAAAGATTCTGTTCAACTGTTTGGGTTGACTGCTTGGCTGTGCTGAGAACCTGCAAGAAGCATGAAATTTAATGTCTTAGAAAGCACAAAATTATTTTTTAGTTTACATGGGTTTCCCTTGCCCTTTTTATTTTGTCATTTCAGGTCCCTTCAAACCATGTGACCATCTGTTTGGTAGCTGGCTGACCAGAATTGGCGTGTGGACCATAGTGGGTTTGACCTTTATTTGCAATGCACTGGTGTCTGCTACAGTTTTCAGATCACTGTTGTATATGTCCCCTGTAAAACTTCTGATCGGTTTAATAGCTATTGTAAATGCCTTGATGGGTCTGGCCAGTGGAGTACTGGCTAGCGTGGATGCATCAACTTTTGGTAGCTTTGCTCAGTACGGAGCACAGTGGGAAAGTGGAATTGGTTGCCAAATAACTGGCCTTCTCTCAATTTTTGCCTCAGAGGCTTCCATTTTCCTCCTTACCCTAGCTGCACTTGAACGTGCATTCTCTGTAAAGCACGCAACAAAGTTTGAAACAAAATCCTCCGTTGCTGGTGTAAAATTTGCCATTTGCTTTTGCTTTCTGTTGGCACTAATGATTGCGGTGATACCGCTCCTCACTGGGAGTGAGTATGGGGTTTCTCCGCTTTGTTTACCACTACCATTTGGAGAACCCACTGCTATGGGCTACATGGTAGCACTGGTATTGCTGAACTCCCTGTGTTTTCTGGTAATGACTGTTGCTTATACAAAGCTCTACTGTAGTTTAGAAAAGGGGGAACTAGACAACATTTGGGATTGCTCTATGGTCAAACACATAGCCTTGCTACTTTTTACTAATTGCATTCTTTATTGCCCTGTGGCCTTCTTATCATTTTCCTCCTTGCTAAACCTCACTTTCATGAGCCCAGAAGTGATTAAGTCAATACTGCTAGTGATTGTCCCACTGCCTGCATGTCTAAACCCACTCCTTTATATACTTTTCAATCCACAATTTAAGGAGGACTTGGGAAGTCTGCGAAAGCAAACTTTGTTATGGAGGAGATCAAAACATGCTAGTCTGATCTCTGTGAATTCAGAAGACATAGAAAAACAGTCTTGTGACTCAACACAAGCACTGGTAACCTTCACAAGTGCCAGCATATCATATGACATGCCTACCAGCAATTCACTAATGCCATCATCTTACCAAATGACAGAAAGCTGCAATCTTTCATCAGTCGCATTTGTTCCATGTCGCTAGTTTCAGTGGAAGTACAGAAAATATCCTATGTTTACAAATTTTTTAAACCTGAAAGTAAGTATGGGTGTGTATATACAAGCTAGAGAGTGCCTCTGAATTATTGTTACACGTATCAGAAAACAGACAATGACAAAACTTGCAGCAGGCTGAAAATCCAATACTTGAGCCTTCTCAGCCTGCTTTTGAATTGCTGGGATGAAGAGAAAAACTGAAAGCTGCTGCAGTTTGTGCGGTTATATCAGCTGCTTTCTTAAAGTAGCACTACTCAGAAAGGGCATCAGTTAGTCAAGAGCAAAAATACCATGTTAAATTGGTAAACTTTTTTTCAAAGCATCACCTGGTACAGTTTGTTTTCAGGGCTTGGGGTTTTTTTCCCGTTTATTGTAATTTGGTTTTAGTAATCATTTTGCAGTGCCATGATTGCTTTTCTAAGCATCTGTGTATGCCCCTCATTTATCAAGGTATCTAAGTGAAAGAGTAGTCCAAGTTCTAAAGGTTTCTGCAGAATAGACTTTGATGAAGTTCCATGTTTTATAAAGCTGATTTAATAGTTTAACTGGCACTGGGTTTGGTTTTTAGAAGTCATTTGCCTTGACAAAGTATTTTTAATTGTCAGCTAAACCTGCAAAAGTAACAAGGTGTGAAAGAAGTTAATCCAGATCCTGTTAAGCACTTAAAATGTAATTATAAATGGCAAGCCATTGTCACATGGATATTTTTCTAGTGAGGTTCTGCACAGTTTGGTCCTGAATTGCTACCATGCCAGTAGAATTACTCACAGAATCACAGCTGATGAAATTGTCAGATGTTTCATAGAATTTGAGGGTGCAAAATACTACATAGAAAGTCATCAATTCAAAAAGATGGGCATGCTGAGGGCAATTAAAGGACACCAAAGATACTCACATAGAAATGTTCATTTAAAGTAATTTGTCTAGGAACAAAAACTGTAGTGCTGCTCATGGCATGATCTCTGTCCTATGAAACAGTGACTCTAGAAAGCCTCTAGTTCATGGTCACTATGTTGAAGATTTAGAAGCCACTGTGTTCTTTTGGCTAAGGATATTATCCAATATCAAGCCAATATCAAGTAGGAGTGAAAAGGTTGTATGATCTGTGTTCTCAGCGCTGATGCAAGCACAACTGGGGTATTTCAAACAGTTCTTCCACTCACGTGCCAAAAAGAACATTGTTAAATTGAAAAGGATATGAATATAATATATTTAAAGCAGCTTAAGAAAGAAGTGATTTGATCACAGTTTATAAGCAGCTACTTCGGGGAAACAAGTTTGACAGCAGAGGACCAATCAGTCAAGAGGAAAAGCATCTGGTAAGATCAACTGGAAGTTGACATTAGGGATATGCAGCACAGAAATAAAGGTGCAAATTATTGACAGTGATGGTCATTAGCTAGTGGAACTCTCTATCACCAAAAATGTCTCAATTCAAATTGGATATATTGCCAAAAAGGTATTGGAGCAGCTATTGGATTTCAGGAACTTCTCATGGCTTTAGTTTAGGAAAAGGTTGGATTAGATTAACAGAGTTCCTATCTGTCTTTAAATCTGTTAATACTTTGTGAATCAAGGCACGTATGTTTACACATCAGAAGCATCCCAGTTAGAAACTTCAAGTCTTTGCCAAGTCTACTGTCAAAATATCTTAGATGACAGAGCCACTTTCACTTCCCTGGCCAAGCCATCAGGGGATATTCCAGTAAACTTTTCTCAGAGCTGGCACCTTTTGCTTGAGTGAGCTGATAATTTAAGACATGAAAGAGCACAAATCTACTTTTTCTGGTGTTAAAAATAGCTCCCTGAGGAGTAACATTTAATAGCCCAGTACTCACTGCTCAGTTAATGGCCACTCAACCTCCAGGTGAATGAGGCTAATTTTTTAACATTACCAAGGTTAGGCTAGCCCGGTAATTAAGGTAATCAGTTACAGATGATCTCTGTTGTTCATCTGTTACGGTATATAAAACTTCGTGGGACTCAAAGAATGGATTTTCACAATGAAGAATTTGTTGCCAACAATAGATATGCCTTGATTTTCTTGTCCATTCACACTGGCATATTTTTAGTTTTGCAGTTACAGATGGCATCAGTTGACTTTGGCTGACATGTTCATCCTTCAGGAAAAAAAAATGAACCAATGCCGAAACTTTGTATGATAAAGTCAGCTGAGTACTTATCTTAATCCTCTGTCTCATGTGGCTTTTGAAGCAGTGCAGCATACAGCTGGAGAACGATGCCTGAAACCACTTTGGATTAAACAGAGGATCAGTCAACCATTGCACGATACCTATTACCATGTTTACTTAGCTTTAATTTAACTGGGGTCCATCTGTGCTGTGCTGCTTAATGTCAGTGAAATTCCCTTCAGCTCGCTATATTTAAGAAGTTTGTAAAGTGACTTGAGAAGCAAATAATGTTATAAATCTAAAGACTAGTTAAAGAAAGCTTCTTTTATCAGAACTTTTTTAGCTTGCAGAAAGTCCTAAAGGCTTTGTGTCTTATTTTTATAAGCATATTTGAAATATTTTGATCAGATATTTTAAACATGAAATTGTTAAAATTCATTTAATAGATTTTTAAAGTAAAATGTGTAAATATAGAACTGTATTTATTATTACAGTGAAATGCATCCACAGTAAAGGACATGAGATTAAGCCCTGTACAGTTTCATATTGATATTTGCTATATTTTCTGCTCATATATATTACTAAATTCATTATCTGTAAATAATATAATGTAAATGTGTAGTGATTGTAAATAGGTGACATGCTTTCTTTTCTATCAGTGTTCCAAACATATGTAAGTTGTAATAAAATGTGACTAAACAGAAAAGAGTGTTTAATCAGTACCCAACACCTCACAAAATTGCATGCATCCTCAATTAATCCTTCCCAAGTTATTGTAATGTTTACACTAACTTCCCCAGATGTCTGAAATTCTTGGCAAATATAAATTACAGGTTGCGTGGTCTCGTTAGATGCCCAGGGAGAAAAAAAATGAAGAATAGTGCTTCATTTCAACACAGACTAAGTCTTTTACCAAAACTTCACTCATAGACCGTTATGGACAGATGCTGCTCCCTGTGCATGCTGTCCATATCTCAGTGACAACCTCTCACAATTGCCACGTGCGAGACTGGCACCTCTGTGTGACAAGGGCATGCATCAGGTCAGGCAGTGAATGTGCATGAGTTACCAGCAGGCTTCAGACCGTATTGGACCACATGAGAGACGAGGTTCTGCTGCTCTAGGCTGCTGCTTTTGGTGAGACAGCAGGTTCTCCCACATGCTTGCTTATTTTCTCTCCACTCCCTTATGTGGCAAAGTGGGTCAGGGGATGACTGTACAGCTGGCAAAGTTCACCTGATACACGGCAGAGAGGCAGCAACACTGTCACATATGAAATGCAGAGGATGCAGATATTAAGGGCAAATGAAAGGTGGGGCTTAAAGCATGGGTCTTGGAAAGAGTCAGATTGCTCAGGCTGCACTAGAAGTTACAGCTCCGTTGAATTAAAGACAGGCAGCAGCTATGCATAGTCATGTCATCATCAAGGCATCAAGGAAAAGTGAGACAGTGGATGCATTCCTGTTAGGAGAGACTGCAGCACAGGACTGTTACATGCGTGAGGTTTGTCGGAGATCATGATTTGTGGGTCATTTCTGTGAAGAACCTGAAAAAGGTAAAATACCAATGAAGTAAAAACTCTGAGAAAGCAAACATTTAGTCAGGCATTCACTCCGTATGGTAAGTAACAAATTACAAAGTTAAACAAAAAAAAGAAAGTAAAATGATCCGAGATGTAAATTGATTTTAGCAGGGAGTGTGCAGATTCTCAGTGTAGATAAGGAGGCTAGAGTGGATGGGGTCATTTCAGACAGAAGGGCCAGTGGAGAAGAAGTCATTTTGGTGAGTGAGTTTCAGAATAGTCTTATTGAGATTGGCTAAAACCAGCAGTGAATGGGGGTGAGAAAGGCATTCATTATCTTTAGAAGGAAAAAAAGCCAGAAGCATGACAAAAATAGCATAGGGGAGTGCATAAACCAGGGAGGAGGGAGGGCTTCAAGAGACACGATGCGAACAGGGGCAGAGTTTTATGGGACATTAAGAAGGGTGGTGGAGTTTTGTGAAGGATGAAGAGCTCAGAGCAGATACAAAAGGATGGAAGCAGCGTGATGGCTGAGGAGATTGAAGTGCTAAGAAAACAGGTGGTGAAGATGCTTTCACATGCACTTATTTGCACCAGACAGTGTAAGCAATATTAGGACTGGGGGCGATAAGGGAGAAGAATGAAATTGTGATATTTGAGGAGGGAAATACTACAGCTTGAACATACAAGGGA